ATGAATACAGATGTGTTTATGAAAGATTTTTATAGGACGTTTCTTTCAAATTTATTTTATTCCTTTTTAATACTAGTAATATAATGCAAATTTCACTTTACACTCTTACAATCTCCCCTCCATTTCCCCTACAATTCGTATCTCTTTCGATGATGCAAATTCTCTGATTGTGTTATCTCAGAAATCTCTGCAAAAACCTTTAGGCAGCTGGATTATGTTTTATTGAAAATTCGAATGTTTGAAAGTTTCCTCCCTATCGGATCTCTACGCCGTCAATGTGTGGCGACTGACTGCCAGCACTGTGTGGCATGCTCGTGGCCAGTCGCAAAATACAGTAAAACTCCTAAGACCCGGGCACGTCCGTCTACCACGCACCTTTCTGACCTATCAAGAGTCACAAAAATTGGCTTTTCTAGTGCTTGGTCCCAACCTGCCCGGATCTGGGCAGTTTTACTGTGCAGCGCAGGCTCAAGCTGGCTGTTTCTGTGATCATGGCAGCGCCCGTGTGACTTGCAATACAGTTAGTCACTTAGTGTACACAACAGGTGCCACCAGTGTCCGGGAGTTATCATACGCGAGGCTGTATACAGCATGGCAGTCCGTGGAAGAGTCTCCACCAGCTGTTATGCGATAACGTCAAATCCGCCATATATAGGAGCCAGTTGGGGTGGCAAAATGCCCAAAGCAGGTACAGAAACCCCCTATACAGAAGAATTTGGGGTGGCAAACGTACTATAATGACGTGTATCGCATAACCTCTTATTGGGGAGTACAATAAAACACCACCCGTTGCATAGCCGCAAGGGTCTGTGAGAGGGGGGGGGGGGGGGGGGGGGCAGATGGGTTCCGGAGGGTTCCCCAGGCGGGGGCAAGGGGGAATCGGTGGCGGCAAAGCCCCCGGCAAGAGCAGGATATCTTCAGATTACGGCCGTCACGCCTGCTTCACTGCATCACAAAAACACGCATACGGTAATTACTCCTTATTTTACAGGCACAATCAGTTACCATAGCTACATAGTCAGTAGTAAGGAATCCTCAACAGCTAAAATGTATCATTATTTTGGTCATGAGACTATGTACTAGACGGTTAGGGGCAGGGTGAGGAAATAAATATCTTCAAAGGTTTAAACATGATAAGACGCGTACAGAAAAAAGCGCACCAGCCAACGAACTATAAAGGTAGACACATGGGAATGGGGGGGGGGGGGGGGGGGGCAAGGTGGCGATTGAGACGGAAAGGAAGCGAAATCCTGGTGCGTGACGGAGTACACCATTGCGAAACAACGTCCCGGTCAATGCTTGAAAGGGCACACTCTGAACCGGTGAACGGCTGTAGGAAGGGCAAGGTACTTGGCGTACATACTTATTACTGGGGGTTATATATCTAGTTAGATGGTCACTGAGCAGCACAGATGATATAGAGTTGATGTAACTGTTAAATAGGCTATGCTGTCTACTGAGCCGCTGGCATGGAATAAAAAAAGAAGAAGGGGGCATCTCTCCGCAAAAAGATCATTCAGCAAACGAAATGAGCTTCATGCCAGGGGAAGCACACTACCTGACCTTGGAAAGGAGGCTAGAGTGTCCTCAGAGGTGTATCAACGTATCGGTGGCGCCTGTCCCTGGCAGGCTGCGCGTGGGAAGCGAAAATCCAGAGCTCGGTGCTGAGCTGAAACTCCAACTGATCACTGTTATGCGGACTAGAACTATGGACAAGCAAACGACGGGATGGTCGGAGGCGCCGGTACGGGAAAACAAGCAAACACGGAGGAACACACGGAACACTTGCCAAACCCGACACTACAGGCACGGTGGCGACGACACTGATAGCTGAAGCAACAGAACTGGCAACAAGTGTCAGCAGCAGCAGCAGCAGCAACAGTACTAACAGACATACAATCAATGCAAAAAGAACAAGGCAACAGATGTTAAAACGCCTGCGAAACACTGACGCCGCTAGAAAAACAAAAACAAAAGAAGATATTCAAAGTGCACCGCACAAGCGGAGTGATAGCCAGACACTTCAACAGAGACAGAAAAAATGAGATCAGGGTACATGCCCTGAGGTAGAAACAGGAGAGATCAGGGTACATGCCCTGAGGGGTACATGCCCTGAGGTAGAAACAGGAGAGATCAGGGTACATGCCATGAGGGGTACATGCCCTGAGGTAGAAACAGGAGAGATCAGGGTACATGCCCTGAGGTAGAAACAGGAGAGATCAGGGTACATGCCCTGAGGTAGAAACAGGAGAGATCAGGGTACATGCCCTGAGGGGTACATGCCCTGAGGTAGAAACAGGAGGCAACACAAGAGTAAGTGAAAATATACTTGACCAAAAGTAGTAACATTTTTAAAAAAAACAATCATAGCGCTAAAGACGCATTCATGAATGTACAGGTGTGTGTGTGTGTGTGTGTGTGTGTGTGTGTGTGTGTGTGTGTGTGTGTGTGTGTGTGTGTGTGTGTGCGTGCGTATGTGTGTATGCGTGTGTGTGTGTGTGTGTGTGTGTGTGTGTGTGTGTATGCGTGTGTGTGTCCATGCGTGTGTGTTTGAGCATGCTTACGTGCGTATTACGTGCGTATTCAAGTACGTGTGTCAATGGCCCACATGTTGATGAACCAGGAGAAAAACGTACACAGCACATCAAAACGTCACTAGTCTCCGACTGTGCAACACAGGACAGATCCACTTTCAGCCAGACCAGATAGCCACAATCAATGACTAGCAGCCAGCACCGGGACAAAGGCCACAGTCAAATAAACAGGAGATCTTGCCTTGCCTAAGATGGAGTGATGGTGTGAGTTGGTGAGGGGGATCACCAGGTATCTACATGTCGTCATCATCGCTGAAGACAATCATGGCGGGGTCGTTGCGCTGTGACTCGAATGTAGACTCCTGGTGGGTATTGCGTAGGCTCTCCATCTCAGCAAGCTCTCCTGAACACAGTACACGTATGCACGCACGCACGCACACACACACACACACACACATACACACACACACATACACACACGTACGTACACACACACACACACACACACACACACACGTACACACACACACACACACACACACACAGTAGATGTACA